GAACTTTGTATTTTATATTCATTATTTAATTTATCACATTCTGTGAATAACGTTTAGCGTTATCGGCAGACCGAAATCTGTGAATAACGGCGAGCGTTATCCGCACAGCTCTGTGAATAATCACTTCGTATATATATATATATATATTTATCTTACCTGGAAGTTGGCAGATGGTTAATGAGTATTGTCATTGTCAATTGTGCTTTTGGTTTTAAATTATAATTATTCGCTTATAACTATATTAAATACTATATCACGCTATGTGAATGTGTAGCCTATCCTAGACTATATACTAATAGTTAATATATAGGCTATTAAATACTCGGTAAACTAATTATAAAGAATTGGTCATCAGAAAATTTGGCAATATATAATATAGTCAAAATAGTGTATAGTCTATAGTGGGGTATTTCCCAACTTCTGTATCAAAAACAACTCAACAGAATATGCCTATCAGGATGAATTGTTCTAAATTATTAGTAAATCCCGAAATGGTCCTAAATGACTATGACAATTCGGGAACATGAAAAGATATTGATATGTCTTTATTCAAATTCTAGTTAATGTAATAGCCTATGCCTGTATAATAATAGTTCAAAATATAAGTATTATTTCTTTAACTTATTGACTTTATCATGCAAATATATAGTCAACAAGTAGCTAAAACAATAATAGAGACATTAACAAAGCAAGTGGGTGATAGTCATCCAATGTTTTAAACAACATATGTTATATTACGATAGTCTATCGGTGTTACTCAATGTTTTCAGTGCGATGGACCGGCAGTAATTTATCGAAGTTTGAAATGGTCGGCACGTAGAGCGATGCAGATTACTTGCACAAATAGGTAGTTATCGTTCTTTTTTCAATCATCTTTCGCCGACCGGTGACTGATGACTAGTGGACTTTTTGAGAAGCACTGATGATATAGGCATAGGAGTCAATGACTCGGAGCAATGGGTGTATTTTCTCTGTCCTCAATCGGTTTCGCCACAGCCGCGGATGATTATCGAATCACCCCAACGCCCTTTTTTCTCCCTTTTGGATACATGATACACCCCCATCTCACCTATGACTTCAAGATTAGTCACCCCTCTAGCCTGTCGAGTCTTAAATTAGGGAATAAGTTACTATAGGACCTAACAATGATGATGACCACATGCATTCATTGATCTTTGTTGCAATAATGTTTTAGTCTATTACAGGATCTGTGACGTACGATAAGGGAGAACCGAATAAAAAGATTGCGTAATCTATATTTCTAGTGACAGTTGTTAAGTTTTCCACGTTGGACGTTTTAAATAGAGTCCAGACGGGCGCTGACTCAGAAAATTACACACCCGGAAAATACCCGGACGGGGCCAATGAAACGGGAGCGGGTGTCAGAGGCGTAGCGAAGGGGGGCAGGGAGGACAGATGTCCCCGGACGCCAGCAAGTTGGGGGCGCCAAAATGAGCTTTGATATTATTTTATTGATAAAAATAATGGGTTTGAGAGATGAACAAAGAAGAGGGGGCGCTTTAAAATGAACCTTGTCCCTGGGCGCAAATCTTGTCCCCGGGCGCCAAACACTCGCTACGCCTGTGCCGGGTGTTGACAAAATTAAAATATTTGCCCATTTTGTTAACGTAATTTGTTTGTACATTGGTCTGTAAATGGAAAAGTTTAAAAAAAATAATATTACCGGTAACAACCAGCACGTACGCATCTATCGCAGCTACGCAATCCATGTTAAGATGTGTGTTTACTATTAGTGTTATAAAGTTAAAGCCTTAAACTTTGCCGCATTCGTGATCAATACTGGCACTGTACATGCAGTCTCCACTTTTCACCATTGGGTGGGACACACATTCTCATGTTCTGTAGGCAACGCCTTTTATTATTGCGCGATTGAAATTAAATCTCTCTGATGGTGTAAAACATGACCGTAAATTCGTTCCGCGGACAATCATTCGAACGGCACGGACCAAAACGATGGTGTGTATTGGGTAGGGGAGATAATAGATTTTATTTGTTTGTTTGTTGTTTTTTGGTTTTTTTAAGTGGGGTAATTGTTGTTGGAGTTTTGTTTTTCTCTAAGCTGGCGCTGGGCGGGGCTACAAGGGCACGAGCTGAAAGGCGTTTGAGTCACGAGCTGATGGTCAACCACTCTCAAACAGTATCTGCATGCCCAGACGCCGTAGATATATACTTTTGATCAATAGTATTGTTCAGCTGTGGCGGTCGGACAGCCCCCGGGCGGTGGAGGTGGTAACGCAACGCCATCTCCGGGGAGGAAGTAAAGCTGTTCCAAACCCCATTTTGCTCAAGGCCGGGTTGCATGGCCGGAGTCCCCAGGGACTACTAGGCCATGTTGCGCGGCCAAGGTCCTAA